GTCAATGACATTGTAGTTGTGTGGCCCATGTCAATGACATTGTGGTTGTGTGGCCCATGTCAATGACATTGTGGTTGTGTGGCCCATGTCAATGACATTGTAGTTGTGTGGCCCATATCAATAACATTGTGGTTGTGTGGCCCATATCAATGACATTCTAGTTGTGTGGCCCATGTCAATGACATTCGAGTTGTGTGGCCCATGTCAATGACATTCGAGTTGTGTGGCCCATGTCAATGACATTGAAGTTGTGTGGCCCATGTCAATGACATTGTAGTTGTGTGGCCCATGTCAATGACATTCGAGTTGTGTGGCCCATGTCAATGACATTCGAGTTGTGTGGCCCATGTCAATGACATTGTAGTTGTGTGGCCCATGTCAATGACATTGTAGTTGTGTGGCCCATATCAATAACATTGTGGTTGTGTGGCCCATGTCAATGACATTGTGGTTGTGTGGCCCATATCAATGACATTGTGGTTGTGTGGCCCATATCAATGACATTGTGGTTGTGTGGCCCATATCAATGACATTGTGGTTGTGTGGCCCATATCAATGACATTGTGGTTGTGTGGCCCATGTCAATGACATTGTAGTTGTGTGGCCCATGTCAATGACATTGTGGTTGTGTGTCTAATGTCAATGACATTTGAGTTGTGTGGCCCATGTCAATGACATTGTAGTTGTGTGGCCCATATCAATGACATTCGAGTTGTGTGGCCCATGTCAATGACATTGTAGTTGTGTGGCCCATGTCAATGACATTGTAGTTGTGTGGCCCATGTCAATGACATTGTGGTTGTGTGTCTAATGTCAATGACATTTGAGTTGTGTGGCCCATGTCAATGACATTGTAGTTGTGTGGCCCATGTCAATGACATTGTGGTTGTGTGGCCCATATCAATGACATTTGAGTTGTGTGGCCCATATCAATGACATTGTAGTTGTGTGGCCCATATCAATGACATTTGAGTTGTGTGGCCCATGTCAATGACATTTGAGTTGTGTGGCCCATATCAATGACATTTGAGTTGTGTGGCCCATGTCAATGACATTGTGGTTGTGTGGCCCATATCAATGACATTGTGGTTGTGTGGCCCATATCAATGACATTGTGGTTGTGTGGCCCATATCAATGACATTGTGGTTGTGTGGCCCATATCAATGACATTGTGGTTGTGTGGCCCATATCAATGACATTGTGGTTGTGTGGCCCATATCAATGACATTGTGGTTGTGTGGCACATGTCAATGACATTGTAGTTGTGTGGCCCATGTCAATGACATTGTAGTTGTGTGGCCCATGTCAATGACATTGTGGTTGTGTGTCTAATGTCAATGACATTTGAGTTGTGTGGCCCATGTCAATGACATTGTAGTTGTGTGGCCCATGTCAATGACATTGTGGTTGTGTGGCCCATGTCAATGACATTGTGGTTGTGTGGCCCATGTCAATATTAACCAGATGGATGGAAGCTTATCTCTAACCTCACATTCTCACGAATCGCAATCCTCAAAATAATTAATTAAAACAACCAGTCAACCGTGACCACAATGAGTTAATTAAGTCGGAGCTGCTTTCAATATAATAACCTAATCTTGTTTCAATTTATTTGACGTTTTTTAAATACTCGCGGACCCACTTGAATGACTTATCTGAACGTGTACGCGATTCCGGCCCCCCAATCCCCCCCCCCCCCACATACCACCATCCTCATTTAAAAAATACAATTTAAGTTTTACTGCACTACAAGAGCAATTATGACGTCTGGACAGATTTAATAACCGCGTGCTGATTTTCATTTCAGATGTAAATTTTTTCAGCTAATTATGTTAATGTGACCTTTGTTTATACCTGACGTGTGTCTCAGATCTAATGGTGCGGGTTTCATTCATCAGACGTCGACTTGTTTGCTTGATTTGTCCAGTCTATTTTTATCTCATTTGTCGTGATGGGAAAACTCACTTCCGGTTAGAATGCGCGCTGACTTCCGTTTTGCGCGGCGTCTATTGGGGTTCAGCCAAGCGTGGGTTTCTGTGAGGAAACGAGTGGGGTCTGAAACGGTTTTGTTTTCATCACGTGGTTAACATCACGTGACCGTTTGAAAAGTTGCCGGGTAAACGCTTGGAAACAGTTGACTAGCGACATTACCACGACATTACCACGACAGAATTAACGCCATAAACAACTTTCGTTAAGATTAATTGATTTACTAACATTACCACATTACCACGACATTACTTCGACAGAAACAACGCCATAAACAGCTATCATTAAAATTAATTAATTTACTGACATTACCACGACATTACCACATTGTCACATTACCACGACATTACCACAACATTACCACGACATTACCACGACATTACCACGACATTACCACGACATTACCACGACATTACCACGACATTACCACGACATTACCACATTGTCACATTACCACGACATTACCACGACATTACCACGACAATACCACAACATTACCACGACATTACCACGACATTACTTCGACAAAAAACATTGTTATAAACAGCTTTCATGAAACACCTTTTATAAATAAATACAAATGTGTAGTAACGTGAATAAGTGACGTTAGATGGTAAATTACTGTTATAAAGTGTGCAGTTTTAAATCTTGGTAGGTCTTTGTAGCGACGTCTATAGGTCCTCGTAGTGACATCTGTAGGTCCTTGTAGTGGCATTAAAAGGACCTTATGGTGACATATTTAGGTCCTTGTAGTGACATCCGTAAACCATATAATGCCATCTCTTCGTACGCGTAGTTACATTTACTGGTATAAAGATTTCAGAGTAATCACACAAAACTAAAGTCACCCAAAAAGTAATTGCAGTCATCTTGAATGGGTTCGGAGTATTTGACTTGAGTGCATGGGAATTGTTAATTACATTTTGTTATTTCAAAACAATCTATGCTTTAAACTTTGTATTAAAACTTAATTTAAACCAGACGGAAACGAATTACAAAATTGATCAATATTTCAAATCATTTTGTAAAAGCTACTAATTAAATATTCATGAAAAAACTGGAAATGTCATTCGTAATTAATTATGATTGTAATTAACCCGAACATGAAAAAGATCCACGGCAACCAGAGTTGGGTTTTATTCAGTTCGACATTCAACACTAGTGTAATGACATGCAGTCTTCTTCTTTAGCTCTCAGTGGAGCTTAGGTAGAGCGCTAGACTGCTAACCCGAAAGTTTCGAGGTCGAATCCGGGTTCAAGTCAGTAAAACGTCCCTCAGTTCACCCAGATCTAATGGGTACCTAAAGAAAAGGCGGCTGGGCATAGTGCTGACCACACTATACATTTAAATGCCGAGTTAACGGAAACAGGTGAACTCTACTTCACTTGCCCCCATGTAGTTGTGGTCTCTTTATTCTATATGAGAATTCTGTGTTATATATAAGCAGGCAATTAAAATCATCGAAAAGCGTGAACATGTTATCAAAGATTTAAATTGATTTGTAATCTAAAACTACGACAACAAAAAACGACAGGAAGATCGGATGATCATTGAGCTTTACTAGTGTTGAATATGTTGCCCAAAATTTAACGGAAAATTAGCCCAACATTTTAGCTGTAAATCGGCCCTATAAAATAGCTGTAGATGGGCCCCCACAATATAACTGTAGATGGGCCCTATAAAATAGCTGTAGATGTCCCACAATATAACTGTAGATGGGCCCTATAAAATAGCTGTAGATGTCCCACAATATGGCTGTATATGCCCCACAATAAAGCTGTAGATGGGCCCCACAATATAGCTGTAGATGGGCCCCTCAATATAGCTGTAGTTCGGCCCTATAAAATAGCTGTAGATGCCCACAATATAGCTGTAGATGGGCCCCACAATATAACTGTAGATGGGCCCCACAATATAGCTGTAGATGTCCCACAATATAACTGTAGATGGGCCCCACAATATAGCTGTAGATGTCCCACAATATAACTGTAGATGGGCCCTATAAAATAGCTGTAGATGTCCCACAATATAACTGTAGATGGGCCCTATAAAATAGCTGTAGATGCCCCACAATATAGCTGTAGATGGGCCCCACAATATAGCTGTAGATGGGTCCCACAATATAGCTGTAGATGTCCCACAATATAGCTGTAGATGTCCCACAATATAGCTGTAGATATCCCACAATATTGCTGTAGATGTCCCACAATATAGCTGTAGATGTCCCACAATATAGCTGTAGATGTCCCACAATATAGCTGTAGATGTCCCACAATATAGCTGTAGATGGGCCCCACAATATAGCTGTAAATGGGCCCCACAATATAGCTGTATATGTCCCACAATATAGCTGTAGATGGGCCCCACAATATAGCTGTAAATGGGCCCCACAATATAGCTGTAGATGTCCCACAATATAGCTGTAGATATCCCACAATATAGCTGTAGAAGTCCCACAATATAGCTGTAGATATACCACAATATAGCTGTAGATGTCCCACAATATAGCTGTAGATGTCCCACAATATAGCTGTAGATGTCCCACAATATAGCTGTAGATGTCCCACAATATAGCTGTAGATGTCCCACAATATAGCTGTAGATGTCCCACAATATAGCTGTAGATGTCCCAAAATATAGCTGTAGATGTCCCACAATATAGCTGTAGATGGGCCCCACAATATAGCTGTAGTTCGGCCCTATAAAATAACTGTAGATCGGCCTAAACTTTGCCTAGCTTGCCGTGATGTGCCTAAAGTTTGCCTAGCTTGTCGAGATTTGCCTAAAGTTTGCCTAGCTTGACGTGATTGACCTAAAGTTTGCCTAGCTTGTTGTGATTGGCCTAAAGTTTGCCTAGCTTGACGTGATTGACCTAAAGTTTGCCTAGCTTGTCGTGATTGGCCAGCCATGCACGTGCCACCCCACGAGACGGGACGAACAAAAACCAGCAACTGTTTAATCAGCTAATGACTCCCGATGATGTTTTTTCTTTCTTGATCTCTTTGACAGGGTCTTATGCCGGGGCCGTTCTTGGGATGCCTCTCAGTGGGATCCTGACACGCTATCTAGGCTGGCAGTCTGGGTTCTATGTCTTTGGTAAGTCGTGTGTCATGTATGTCATATGTCATCTGATGTAAGACGTATGTCATCTTACGTATGGCGTATGTTCTGACCGATGTCCTATGTTATATGACGTAATCAGTGTGTATTCTACGTCGTTTGTCATCAGACGTATCTCATATGACATCTGACGTGAGACGTATGTCATTTGATGTATGTATTAGTCATCTGTCATAAGAAGTTTGTCATCTGTCATCAGTCGTATGTCATCTGTCGTATGTAGTGTTTGATCTGTCGTCAGTCGTATGTTATCGCTGTATGTAGTATGTGATCTGTCGTACGTTGTATGTGATGTGAAGTATTTCTGACTTAAGTCTTTGTCATCTGATACAACACGTATGTCATCTGACTTAAATCGTGTGTCATCTTAAATAAAACACATGTCATTTCATAAATGACGTGTAACAGCAGTCGCAAAAATCATAACATGACCGTAATTGGAAATATTACAAGGTCTATGAAATAACATTCGAATTTATAATTAAATTGCCTCATCTTTCTTTGATCAACTGACACAGTCTCTTGGAAATTAAATCTTTCATATGACCCCCGATCACATTTTATTTTTCGTATGCCATCATCGATGAAGAAAAATATTATTACAATAATTATTCTATTGTTACATTCAATCCGTTTATGTAATGGCTTGAAAAGTGCAAATTTTACTGTAGATTTTACTTATTGATATAATAAAGTCTCTGTTGGTAAGGAGAAGATGATATAATAAGGGGTACAGTGGTCCTAATTGTGAACCACTGATATAATAAAGTCTCTGTTAGTTAGGAGAAGATAATATAACATGGGGTACAGTGGTCCTAATTGTGAACCACTGATATAATAAAGTCTCTGTTAGTTAGGAGAAGATAATATAACATGGGGTACAGTGGTCCTAATTGTGAACCACTGATATAATAAAGTCTCTGTTAGTTAGGAGAAGATAATATAACATGGGGTACAGTGGTCCTAATTGTGAACCACTGATATAATAAAGTCTCTGTTAGTTAGGAGAAGATAATATAACATGGGGTACAGTGGTCCTAATTGTGAACCACTGATATAATAAAGTCTCTGTTAGTAAGGAGAAGATAATATAACATGGGGTACAGTGGTTTCTATTGAGAACTTCTGATGTAATCAAGTCTCTGTTAGTAAGGAGAAGATAATATAACTTGGGGTACAGTGGCCCTAAATGAGAACCACTGATATAATCAAGTCTCTGTTAGTAAGGAGAAGACAACTTAAAAACTCGGAGTGTCTGGAGTTCTAATATAGCCCGGACCCCTATCACTGGGCCAACACTGCAAACAGCCAGGGGCGGTAATAAGGGATCAATCTGGTTCATCTCGGGATCCGACTTGCTGACAAAACCCAATACGGTTTTTTCCCTTTACTCCCCGTCCTAAACAAGGACGAGGAAATAGAATTTTCCCGGGGAAAAAAATTCCTTGAAGTGCGCGTAAATAATAAAAAAAAATCCTAAATGCAAAATAATAAATTAGCAGAGTTCTTTTCCTGCCTTTGCTCAAATCAAGCCTCAATGCTCATGAAACAATCATAACGCCCTTTGTTTAAAAAAATGCTGTATTATATTGCAATGCGTTATTTATAATAATAATTGGGAAAAAATGATTTTAAAAAAAATTCTTTTCATATCGCAAGGCGCCAGAGGAGAAAGCTGGTTTCATTAATTAGTTTATTAATTATTGATTAGCTTGCCCTTAACACTATGTTATGATGAAGTATGGTTTTGTTCGCTTAAAGCTAAAACTTTTTGCCATAAGTTTTGTTCGCTTGATTCTAAGAAGTTCATTATACACATTTTTTAATTGTGAACATTTTAAGACATTAAAATTTTAACAAGATTAATTGGTTTTTTTTGCGTGTTATGGTCACCAACATTGGTTAAAATATATTTTAAATAGATTTTTTTCTGTAGGCTGACTTGGTTAAATATATAAATGGTATTCTTTTTAGAAAGTAGTAGCATTTTAGTTAAGCTTTCAATCGAAATGTAACGATAATAAAACACTTTACAAAACATACAACAAATATACTTAGCATTAAATGTGTTTAGTGAAATATGTTTGATTAAATTATAGGGGTTAATACCAGTGGAGCTGCCGATTGACAAATATAAGCTGGATGTAGATGGACTCTAAGCGTTGACCGGGAAATGGTGTGTGTGTGTGCGTGTGTGTGTATATGTGTGTGTAGGGGGGGGGGTGCCCTATGCGTTGACCCGGGAGCCTTTAACTAAGTCCTAAGCTTTGTTTTTATACCTTAAATAACATTTTCAAAAGGTCACCCCATACAGTAGCTCGTATCTTCAGGCTTGCAGTTCTCTGCTGATAGAAGAGGGACAATGGCAAGCAGTGACAGACAGGCACTGTCTTGTAGGGATTTGAACCCAATCTATAGGGGAGGGGTGTTCAGTGTTCTACACACACACCACTTATAAATAAAAATAAGTATACACACTTTTTAATAATTTGATTTTGAATGGAAAAGCGATGTTTTAATTTAAAACATTTAAAAAAAAAATTAAGCTAGAGATTGTCAATCTAGGGGTGTTCAACACTAGGGATGGTTAGATTGGGGTGGTTAGATTGGGATGGTTAGATTGGGGTGGTTTAACGGTTAAAGTTAGTGTTGGTTAAGGCTAGGAATGGATACATCCCCCCCCCCCTTCTCTGTCTTGTGGTCGTGTGATTTGAGTCAGAAAAGACAAGCTCTGTACTCTTTGGTTAAGAGGATTAGCGTCTAGGGGGGGGGGGGGGGGTAGGATGGACGAGGGATGGGGGGGGGGGGTAGGGTGGAAAATAAGGTTTTGGGGCTGTTTGCGATTCGTGTAACAGTGTCTTTACAGAGAGCGAAAAAATGTATAATTAAAATTAATTACACGTATGAGCGATATATTTATATATATATATATATATATATATATATATATATATATATATATATATATATATATATATATATATATATATATATATATATATATATTTAAAAATAAATAAATAAATAAATAAATAAATATATATATATATATATATATATATTTAAAAATAAATAAATAAATAAATAAATATATATATATATATATATATATATATATATATATATATATATATATATATATATATATATATATATTTATTTATTTATTTATTTATTTATTTATTTATGGGCTCTAATGTAAATTTTTAATGTAAATTTTCATTAATTTTGTTGTTGAAATAAACTGTGTTGGTGTCTCGACAAATTCAGATAAAAAAAAACCACATTACACACTCCCTCCATCCCCACTGTGTGCTATCTAAGGCACCAACCCACGGGTCTGATCTAAACATTTTCTTCCTGCCTGAACTTTGACGTTTCAAATTCGCCCCAATCAATGGAACATTTTTCTTTTACGGCTAATAAAGAGAAGCACTGTGTCGTACTAAGTAGTTTTATTCCAATGGTTGTCGATTATCGTTACTTGAAGTTTATGATAAGTGCCACCATCTAGCTTTTACCTAGGATTCGTGGCACTTAATTTGCTTTCTTATCAAGAGAGTAGACCAAAAGATATATATATATATATATATATATATATATATATATATATATATATATATATATATATATATATATATATATATATATTTGTTCTGAGCCATACAATTCATAACTTGAATGGCGAATTGCTTTAGCTGTTGTCTACTATTGATTGTTTGTCTGTCTTTAAAACAAAACACATGTTTGATTGTGTAAACACGTCGCCTCTCGCTCGTCTATTGTGTGTTTTTGTTTACTGACGTGTGTAAAATTTTGGACCGGAAATTGACAAATAAGCCAAACAGGAAATTGATTGAGAATGGGGAATAACATGAAAATTAATGTTAACACTGAACACAGCCAATGAACCAATGTAACGCTTCATCATAGTTCACATTGTAACTTTTCATAGTTTTTAACCCTGTAATACAATATCCTTATTAATTGATGTTTTTTTTTTTTTAAATCGGAATCAGAAAAAAAAATAGCGTTGATTTTTTATAGTTGTTTTGTTTTTGTTTATTTACACTTACAAATAAAGTTTTTTTTGCTTTTCTTAATGTCATTGGTGTTCTTTCTTCATGAGTAAGGTCAGTGAAAAATAAATGTTTTTTGTTTTGTTTATGATAAATGAATTTTAAAAAGTTACACTAAACACATTTAAATAAATAAATAATTGTAATATTGGAACTTTGAAGATTTGAAAATGTCTGAAATTTAAAAAAAAATCGGGTTAATCTTTTATAAACTCTGCGATTTCAAACTTAACAAATATAGGTAATCTTAACAAAAAGATATTGTCCATAAAATAATTAAGGGTTTAGGTATATATTTTGAACAAGTTAGAAATAAATCAGAAATTTAGCAAAACAGAATGCCGTTCAGTGATAGTTCTTTATAGAATTTAGCAGGTGGAATACTGATAAGTTAAAAAAAACGCGAATCTTTGTGTGTCTGAAATGTTAAAAAAAAATTACAATCCTTACATTGCCAAAGCGTATAATAGTGAATTTTGAGCAACCTAACATTTAGAACGGTATGCACATAAAGAAATATTCAGTTTCCTGAATGCGATTAGTTGTCACGCTGTCGACTTCGATATAACCCATGTTTTCCTTTAGCAAAATCTTCAATTGTCTTGAGACACGACAGCATGGTTTTAATCAATTACCCCCTCATCGTCAATATTGATATATTCTATGGGTTATTCCTCTTGATGTTTCTTATCTCCCCTGGAGGTCAAAAATTAGGTTAATTAGCCATCAAGTTGTTAAGCAGGCTAAGAGCGCGAACAGTGCCAGAGTAATTATGGTGCCAGGTCTAGGGGAAGGCACTGGTGGTACAATATTTTAGTCAAGTTAATTGCTCTAATGATCGTGATTGGCGGAATAGGATAATTGGACGTGACAAATGCTATTGGCATAAGGGGGTCG